CTCGAGGCTAACCTCTTGAGTTACAAACAAAATATAGCTGTAGCATGACTCTATCACGTTCTGTTTTATTTGTACTGAATATACCCACAGTAAAGCTATAGTAACCAATATATCACAATGAATCAGCAATATAAAATAGCAATTGACCTGCTACATAGCTCGAAGAACCGACAATTGATGGGTTATAAATGAACGCAAACTGTCGCAAAATGACAGCCTCATAACTGTAAGCGAAGTGTCGGGCGGCCCCACACTAGATGATAAACATGCCGTTGTATGCTCGTGGATGTTTTGTGTCATTCTTTGGGAGAGTCCTATGTTTGGCATTCGACTATGAAGGACTGTGATTTTGATGATGGTAAAATTATGCAGTTTTTCGGTAAATTCTTTAGTGCGATTAAAAACTTGTTTATTCATTGTGACGCAGTGACAGTTTCGATTTAAATTTAAATTGTTAAACCACTTATCAAGAAATTACTTCACGACTTAAAGCCTTTTTTATATTATTCATCTCCTTGAAGCAATCATTTGCATTTAATAGAAAATAAAATGGAAAAAATTTAATGGAAAATAGCGAGCTTGTTTTTTTATTTTTATTCCATTTCCAATTCTCGGAATCGTTGAGATATTTTTTGCATATATTTTCTGCTCAATTTAAGCTTCAACGGTTTAGTGTATATTTCATATTGAAATGTATAAAATATATGAAAATTATTCATGAAATTTGCGTAGCCAGTTATATAATGAAGACATTAAAATAGTTTGAATGTTTGGTGCAGAAGTAGGTGGTTTATAAAGATGCATCTTGTATTCCGGCATGTATTGTCTGATACGGATGCGAAGGTGGAACAGAAGCAGATTTTCTCTCCGGAGGAATCGCCAAAAAAACTTTTTTTTTACTATTTACAAGCCAGTACTTGAACACAATCCCACCTGGTGGTAAGAGGTGGTGAAGCTCTAGATGGTGAAATTTTGTTTTAAATTGCACTGCCCTGACCAAAGCTATTATATTAGACGGCTTCGTGGCGGGTTCAAATCCCGCACGGATCAAGTACTTGTATGGCCTACAAATAATTGTGCCGGGTCTGGATGTTTGTGCTTGTGAAATTTATGTATGCTAACTGCCGGCACGATACAGCAGAAAATGCCAATGTGGAGGTAACGTTTTTTATAAAACAAATTAAAAATAATATTCGTATGTGTTCAGTTTTGCGTTGAAAATGCCCAACTTGTATTTGGACGCAAAGACAGATGCCGGCTTATTATTTTACTCCTTTGCTGTACGCATTACGAAATACGAAGCAAACGGTTTGGTCCTCATGCGTTTTTCACGAAAAAATGAGGTAAAGACCTGTCGGTCTCGTTGTGCGATGGTGGAAAGGAGAGGGAGGAAATAAATCATGATAAAAAAATAAAAATAAAAACTTGTTATTGAAATTTTCTTAAATCTAACCATTCTTAGTTATTTCAGGTTCAAGTGCTTCATCTCAGGAGATTTTTTTCATCCACAACATGTTAGAGTTAACCAGCCAAATGAATCATACAACCGTTTGATTTCTGCAATTATACTTTTTCCATAATGACTTCAGCATTGTACTTCGGTATGTCTTTGAAACCGAGTAGTTGTGTGAATGTCGCGAAGCCAAACAATTGTTAGATAATTTCCTTACACAATCACATCTCTCCTCATGTACTTGTATTAACTTTACAAAAATCTACAGTGATTTATAGTGTGCTCTTCATTACATGTGAAGCAAGTTCTCAGCAGACGTATGGAATTAATTTTCCTTTGTTACATTGGTCTCTCATGAAATGAATTAAGATTAATAAAAATAAGTGTTTTTTTTTTTTTATTTATTGATCCACCAACATTTGTATCATTCCTTACTTGCTATTTAAATACAAGGAACCAATAATAACTAAAATGTACAAATAATTACAGGCGGATACCACATGCTAATAACTATCTCAGCACTGTACTTTATTTCTAGGGTAAAAAAAAATAATAATGATATACAGTAATAAAAATACATAGAGCGAAAAGAAAAGAAAATGTTTTATAGAATATTACAAGAAATGGTCTCTTAATGTGCGACGGAGCTTGTTAGGAGGGTCGAAAATATATCGATTGTTTCGCTAAATTTGTTAACAATTTTACTCATTCTCGCAATTGGGGAATTGGAGCCAAACACTGTTCTACGATGTGGTCTAGTCAACGGTGTAATCTTACGAGCAAAACGCACAAATTAAATTTACTTAAAATTTCGGGACAGTCAATAACACCATTAATAATTTTCGAAGCAAAAATTAAATCAATAATATCCCTGCGGTTTTCTTGAGAAATCATTTTGAAATAGACCAAGTTATTTTCATATGATACACGCTTCTTATAACTTCTAAACCCACGCGCGTAAGACAAATGTCTTATGAATCTTTTTTGGATCCGCTCGATTCTCAGTGAATGTGTAGCATAATGAGGTCTACAGACTACAGCACAGTATTCTAATATACTTCTTACCAAACTGTTAAACAATAGAATTTTAATTTTAGAGCTTCGAAAAACTTTTATATTTCTTATTACAAAACCCATCATCCTAGAGGCACGCTTAGTAATGTTTTCAATGTGAGGCACAAAAGTTAATTTTTTATCGAAAACAACCCCTAGGTCTCTAATTTGGTCTAACTGCTGTATATTATTATCTCCAATGTGATAGCTATAATCGATGGTATTACTTTTTCTCGCATATTGCACATAAAGACATTTACTAATGTTTAAGTCAATTCGATTTACTTTGCACCATTCCACCAATTGATCCAAATCATTTTGTAGCTTCACTGAATCATTCTCTTCCGTTATCATCTTGCAAATTTTTAAGTCATCCGCATACAAGTACGCACAAGAACTTTTCATCAATTCTGGTATTTCATTAACGAACACTCCAAACAGAATCGGTCCGAGATGTGACCCTTGGGGCACACCAGAATGAATGTTTTTCAAGCCTGACTGATATCCATTCACTACTACAAAAAACGCTCGGTCATTTAAATATGATTTTAGCCAATTCAACAAACTACCAGTAATACCATAGGCAGCTAACTTTTGAATCAATATATCATGTGGGACCCGATCAAACGCTTTGCTAAAATCGGTATATATTACGTCGACTTGTTTTCCCGCATCAAGCGCTTCAATTAGTGTTTCCGTAATATGTACCAAGTTAGTACTCGTGGACCTAGCTTTAACGAAACCATGTTGGCTAGTGGTTAAGTAAAGATTGATATGTCTCTTAATAAAAGGACAAATTATTGACTCAAATAATTTAGCGAAGACTGATAGTATAGAGATTGGTCTGTAATTTTTTACATAATCCGCACTACCCGCTTTATGAACCGGAACGATTTTAGCTATTTTCCATTCTGTAGGAAACTGCCCAGTACAAAGAGAAAGATTGAAAATAATTAAAAGTGGGTTAACAAGATGTTCAGCATATCTGACTACGAACACTGGAGGTATTCCGTCAGGACCTGCCCCTTTATTACAATTGATGACTTTTAGTTTATTTAATAGGGTATCATGATTAATTGTCAGCTTTGCTAAGTGAAGGCTATTAATTTCTATTGATTTCAAAGACTCTGAATGGTCATAAACATATTCCTGCTCAGTACATTCAGTATTCTCAGAGTACACGGATGAAAAGTGTGAAGAGAAAAGTTTGCAAGTTTCCACTCCATCAGAAGTTACTGTCATTCCGTCAGTCATTGCGAGGGGACAGGCGCTTGAACCACCACGTTTCGCCTTAACAAAGGACCAAAATAGTTTCGGGTTTTTTGCTATGTCACTCTCTATTAGCTTTATATACCTATTGTAGCAATTTGTGGCCATATGTGTACACCTTTTACTCAGCAATTGCAGTTCAAGCTCATCTCTGGGATTCTTATATTTTTTGTGACGGCACCTAATTTTATACTTATCTTTTAGCGTTCTAATTAGATTCCGATCAAACCAAGGTGGATAGTTGTTATTTTTTGGCGATTTACTGGGGACAAATTTAATAATAACATCTCGAATTTTCTGGTAGAAAATTTGTAGCATATCATTTACATCTGTCAACCCGTCAAGCAGTTTTACCCAATCACAACTCTCTAATTCTTTACAAATACTATCATTGTCAGCTCTGTAGAAATTTAATTGTACGTTTTCAATATTGTAAGGTAATCTAATGTCATTCAATAGCTTAACATTTATGTCAAGGGGAGGATGGTGCCTATCAACTTTACTGAGGGGACAAAGTGCCTGTTCCACTGTACAGTTAGGTAAATTTGAAATAACCAAATCAAGTGTTCTATTTAAATTCTTATTTTTTATACGATTGTACTGTTTCAAATCATTTACATTTAAAAAATCAACAAATGACTGACTAACAGTGGAAAGCTCACATTTTGCAGTATCCTCATCTAACAAGCTCCAATTTATGGAAAATAGATTAAAATCACCTACTATACAATGCAGGCACTGTTCTTCCAGGACGCTAGTACAAGTATCATAAAATTTATCATAAGTTACACTTTTTACAGGAGATGGTAAATAAATGGCACAGAAGGCAATTTGATCAATTGACTGTGATGCTGGTGCATCGACTAAAACCCAAAGATCTTCCAGATCCGACTCCCAAGCGTTCATACGCTTCGATTTTAATTTACTTGATACTGCTATTAAAACCCCCCCTCCCTCTTTCTTGTTACTACTGGTAAAACATCTATCTCTTCTATATACCACATATCTAGGATCAAAAAGTTCACTACTCGAAACAGAATCATTAAGCCAGGTCTCAGTGAGTATTATTATTTCATAGTTGTTACATAATATTTGATTATAGAAGCTATGTGTTTTGGTCTTAAGACCACTACAATTTTGATAGTACAATTTTAGAGTATCGAATCTTATAAAAAACCGTACCACATAAAAGACTATAAAATAAGAAAGGAACAACCAGAATAATTTAAATAAGTTTTTTTAGGCTATCCAAATTTTTTACTAAAATATAGTCACTGTCATCAGTCTTTCTCATAAACACTCTCCCATTACGCACCCACATATATTTATATCCTCTCTCCCTTGCTTTAAGCCTGGCCGCCGCATGAATGGCCTTGTTCGCTGGGGATAGATGTTCAGTAACAAAAACAGGGGTGGTGTGTCCTGTTAATCCAAGATGTGTGGTATTCAGTTTGTTGTCTGAGTTCGCCTTGTTGTATTTAGAGGTCATCGCTAACATTTCATCTCGAATTCTAGGCGAAGCTAAATGAACTATTATAGATCTTGGACGCCTGGATTCACGATTTATTTTGGCTGTGCGTGTGCAGTTTAGAATGTCATTTTCTTTCAGAGAGCTGCCGATGACTTTACCCAACTTTGTTATCATCGTTATAAGATTTTCATTTCTTGACTCCGGAACGTTCTGGAGCTCTAAATTACATTGGCGGGAGTGTTGTTCGATTTGATTTACTCTCTGAGCTAAGGCTGAACAGTTCCTTTCAGTTCTTCATTCTCTTTCTCTAAACAAGTTATTTTTAATTTAGAGGCTACATTTTCTTTCTTTATACCTTCATACTGGTCATTAATGAACGTTAAAGATTCCTTAATACTCAACAATTCATCTCTCATAGGTTTTATCTCCTTCGCGAAGAATCCAGCCAAGTTTTCATTAAATCTTTTAAATAGATCATTCATTTTATCTTCCATCACACCTTCTACCACTAGACGGATGTCTTCCATAGAAATGTTCACTTTCTCCGAATCAGAATGCGGCGAACCAATAGCTACTCTTTTGTTTCCTCTAACGGTAGTAACGTTTCTCACAGGTGTATTTTCTTTATTTGTAGGTTTTGGTAGTTGGTGGACACATTCAGGGCAGGCCCATGTCGCCAATAAATCAGAGGAAATAATTTTGCGATCAATCATCATACATGCATAATGATATTTTTTATCGCATTTAATGCAAACAATAAATTCATCACAGTTATCTTTTTCAGAAAAACAACAGCCCCAATTTGCATTAGACATCATAAATCCACTCAAATTTAATTATGTTATATTCAAAAAACGAACCGTGTAATCTTGTCCTCTCAAATGCAAAGGTAATGCACGATATTATCGTTGTTCTATCTGCATTACCTTATCAGTACTGGGTCGGGCGTCGCATCACAAACAGGCCGGGCGTATGCGATTATTACCAGTCAACAGGTCGGATAAGCTCGCAGTTTGCTTAGCAGCGAGCTCAGCACATCGGCACTCACAATTGTTCCTCTACCGCTCAATATAAATAAAAACAAACAATTTCAACTTTTATTTGTTTAAATAATGATTTTAGACCAGGTTTTCTTGAGGTTTTTATATCACAACACAATCTTTACGCACTATAATCATTAGATCTTAATCATTTAGACTTTAAACGTGATTAAAAACTCTCGAATCAAAATATTACTTAGGGAACACAAGTACAGAGCTGCTTTTATAATTGTGTCCAAAGACTGTTATTAATCTGAAATTAGATTTGTACTAATTCATAACACATTGTCATTTGATTCATAGGCATGTTCTTCCAATGCTTTATGTGAACAATTTCTGTAGAAATATAAATATTAATAGTGAAATATTATATATTGTAAGTAGAATTGGAAGATATCTGAAGGTTATTTAAAGTATTTAATCATCTCTAGAAATAATTTTATTTGAAAAGCTGTTTGTGTAGTCACCATTTTTTGCCCAAATAACATTTTCATTTGAGAGTTGACAAATAAAACTTTTATTTTCTACCTTGCATGTTCTTTATTGCCTTTTATAATACTTATATGTTTTTATAACGATCCAGCTTGTTTGACGATGTTTGGTTTTAAATAATCCTACTTTTGAACAATACTGGGTGAAACTAATTTTTACGGATTATATCTCGTTTAATTTAACATTTTTAATTCCCGACGTTTCGGGTGCTTTACAGCATCCATAGTCACGGGGGGTCTGAGGTATTTGACGTCTTGATGTCATAGTTAGCCCGGCTGTCTGGAGTTTTTGAATATTTATTTTTGGTCCAATCTACGCAGAGTGATACGCGAAAGAATCCAAAAAAAAATAGTTTAATTTATGTGTAGTCTTCGCGTAAATATAAGAAATTTTGTTATCGCGCTCAAAATGCCATTCAAGGCATCCTTTACAAATGTTTGACGAAACAATAATTTTATTTAACAGAGTATCATAAAATATTTGTTTTATTTTCCTTGGGTACACCTTTAACCAGGTCTTGGTGCGTAGTTTTAAACGATCTTGCCAAAGATATTCTTCGGTGCACTGTTATCTCGTTTTTATAACCTTTTGTTAAACTTTGCTTCGGAAACTTTTTTAGGTTAACTTGTGCCTTGAGCTCATCTTCGTGATTTGTAATAGACCACATCAATTTGATTCAGTATAAAATAACGATGCTATTAATATTATCACTTAAGAAATGGTGACTGTTAACTTTTCTTCGTTGCCAGCCACTCAATGAATTAAACAACAATTGGTTAGTCTCAAAGGACCATCATCATCATCATCATTACAACCTTTCACAAGTCCACTGCTGAACATAGGCCTCCCCCAAGGACAAAACTGTGGTTGTGGACTGACTGGTGGCTCAGGACCGTGCTTTGTGGCATTCCTTGGGGGAGGCCTATGTTCAAAAAACCATATTTTCATGGAATTAGAATTCACTTTGCACTGACTATGATATTGAAAATAACACAGCTTTTTGTTCTTATAATTGCTTTAACTGGTTCAAGATTTACACGATGCATAAAAAATATTATGTATCCATAGTTGTAAACTTAAACACTGACTTAAAAAGGTATATCTCATTATCTTCCAACTCGCGCTCGTTGAACTGGTGAAGAATTACGCTCACATCGAATACCTACGTAAAATAGCAGCATAATGCTGCTTTCCAAATGCTTAACGTATTGAGTGAGGAGAACCGAAGACTCCTTTTACTGGTAACAAGGCATTCCATCTTAGATCTAAATGTAACAACGCATCTGCCTTTTAGCTAACTTCAAGTCGACTGTTAGCTCATTTTTGTTTGTATTTTATGCGATATCTTTGTCTATTGTGAACTGATTATATTTTATAATGTAGGTGTATGTCACGGAAAACAACTATTGTAAATTTTGTCTTCAAAATTTCACCCCTTTTGATAGACTGTAGTGATGATGTGATGACTTAGGTTACTACAATTACTAAATAACCATGTGGTTATATTTCTCTATGTGTTAATGAGCACATTGCAAAAGTGTGATAAGATACCAAATCTTCTTTTTTGTCTAGAATTTACATTTCTGCCGTCGAGCAGTAGTATGTTCACTACTGTATTCCAGTCTGAAGAGTATATTGAGCCATTATAATAACAGTCTATAAGGCATTACCTTCCATTTTATTGAAGTGATGACTGAAGATTTCAGGTGTCCATGGTCTGTAGTAGCCACTTATCTTGAAACGGTCTAAAAATAACTTTATCTCTTAAATTATTTCTAAAAGTGTCTCGTTGTACAAACAAAGCTAACAATATTTTTATTTATAAAAAGTTTCAGCGAAAAAATATATTGAAAAATTAAACAAAGGAAGAAAAAATATCAGCGTGATCAACCCAAAGAGGTCAGGTGAATCCTATTCAAATATCTCTGAGCAGTTTGCGCTTTTTCTTTTTTTACTTTGCTATGATAATAAGAATAGGAATCAAATAAAAGTGTCTTATAAAGATTGCTGTCTATTATATTATATCTTATATATTATTTATTTTCGTTTTGTTTTAAAGCCGAATACAATTATTTTATTTTGTTTCATTCATCATCATCATTACAGCCCTTCACAAGTCCACTGCTGAACATTGGCCAAGGAAAGCCAGAAAGCACGGTCCTGAGCCACCTGCATCCATCGACGTCCTGCATATCTTACCAGGTCGTCACTCCATCTAGTGGGGGAATGCCCAACACTTCGCCTGCCGGTACGAGGCTGCCACTCGAGAACCTTTCTTCCCCATCGGTTGTCGGTTCTTCAAGCTATATGGCCGGCCCATTGTCATTTCAGCTTACTAATCCGTTGGGCTATGTCTCTGCTATGCCTCTGCATAGCTCGCTGAGCGACCTTGAGCTTCCTCATCCGGCCAGCAGTGAACGACCACGTCTCAGTTCCGTATGTCATCACTGGCAACACGCATTGGTTGTACAGTCTCATTTTCAAGTTTTGAGGTATACCTGACGAGAATATGTGTCGTAATTTCCCGAACGCTGCCCAACCGAGTTGAATCCGTCGATTGACCCCTCGGTCGAAGTTGGACTTACCTAGTCGGACTATTTGTCCCAGGTAAACATACTCGTCAACAACTTCGAGCAAAGTGCTCCCAACAACTACCGGCATAGGTGTGACATGGACATTAAACATGATCTTTGTTTTGTCCATGCTCATCTTAAGACCTATCCGTTAGGAAGCACTATTGAGGTCATTGAGCATAGTGCTTAGGTCCTCCAGCGATTCTGCCATAAGGACTATATCGTCCGCAAATCGAAGGTGAGTGATGTACTCGCCATTGATGTTCATACCGTATCCTTTACAGTCCAGAAGCTTGAAAACGTCTTCCAATGCAGCGGTGAAGAGTTTCGGGGATATGACGTCACACTGTCTTACACCTCTCTGCAATTGGATAGGTTTCGTACTCTGGTTCTGTACTCGGATAGCCATCGTAGCCCTACTGTACAAGCACTTCAGCACTTCGATATACCGACAGATCACCTGGCACCGCTGAAGGGACTGCAGCACCGCCCAAATTTCGACGGAATCAAAGGCTTTCTCATAGTCCATATACGCCAGACATAGTGGCAAATTGTAGTCCTCTGATTTTTGTACAATTTGCCGAAGGGTATGTATGTGGTCTATGGTGCTAAAGTCTTTTCGGAAACCGGCTTGTTCGGGAGGCTGGAAGTCGTCAAGTCTGCGCGCGAGACGATTCGTAATGACTCTCGAAAACAGCACGTAGACGCAGCTCTGAAGGGAAATCGGTCTGTAGTTCTTCAAGAGAGCGTTGTCGCCTTTCTTGCAGAACAATACCACCGCACTTCTGCTCCACGCCTCAGGTGTAATGCAACCATGCAAGACGGAATTAAAGAGCTTCTGAAGGACTTCAAGTACCGGTTTTCCACCCGCTTTCAGAAGCTCCGCTGTAATTCCATCCTCGCCTGGGGCCTTGTCGTTTTTAATGTGCTGGAGAGCCCTTCTAATCTCGCTCAGACTGACGTCCGGGATATCTTCGGAATAGTGTCGGATGAGACTCGCTCTTGGATCGTTACTCACACTTGCGTGTGGCTCCAACGATGACGTATACAGCTGCCCATAGAACCTCTTAATCTCACTCAAAATCTCAGGTGCTTCGGAAACGATGCTGCCACATTCTGTCTTCAGCTTCGACAGTTGGCTCTTTCTGGCAGACAGATCTCTGGCAAAAACTTTGGAGCCTTGGTTCCGCTCGATCGCTTCTTAATTACGAGCTGTATTGAAGTTGCGTAAGTCCCGCCGCATGCATTTGGAGATCTGTCTGTTCACTTGCCTGTATGCTGTCAAATCTGTTGAAGAATCTAGCTTCATCTCCCGTCTAACAGCCATGAGATTAAGAGTGTGATCGGAGAATTTTTGTATTCTTCTGCGGCGGGTCTTGAAGAACTTAGCTCTGACCGCATGGACAGTTTCCACGAGCTTGCCATTCATATCGTCCACTTCATTGCAGACTTCTAGGCACTGAAAACGGTTTTGTAACTCGAGATGAAAGGTTTCGGGACTTTGGATTAGAGCAAGAGGGGGACGGAGCGTTGACTTCATTAGACGAGACCTCTTTAACTTAATGTTTAGGTTCAGTATGCCTCTAACCATTCGGTGATCGCTGCCGGTTTTCACCCTCGCGATCACTGAGACATCACTGAACAATTGTCGTCTGGTCGTCATAATGAAGTCAATCTCATTTTTTGTCGAACCGTCGGGGCTCGACCAGG